AAAGCTTTACTGTCAACAGCAAAGTTCAGTCACCTCATTTCTCACAGCTGCTCTGGCCACATTTCAAACATCAGCAACATTTTCAGTGACATCTATAAAAAGGGATGAAATGGGAGCTTTTATGAACTAATTGTCTGACATCTGCTATTAATATTCACCAATCCTTCAAGGGTTGCACAGAGAAAGCCATCATCTCCTTATAACCATGGTTAAGTGATGAGAACTCAGCTCAATCCACTCTGCAATTAAATCAACGTGAAAAATATCAACAAAATTATTTCCACAAGCATTCCAGAACAACAGAAACACTTCATTTCCCTGGAATGGTGATCACCCTCCTCCTCTATCAGACAGAACAAACAGGCCTTTGTTATTTATTGTTACTTTATCTGCTTGGCCATACAGGCCAATAGGGTTTTTCAACATGGATTTAACACTGAAAGTTTTTCCCATAAATAAATACCCAGTCTTAAAGCTGCCTATGATGCCAGAACCTCCAGGTGCTCACCTGGAGAGGAGAAGGCTCCAGGGAGAGCTCAGAGCCCCTTCCAGGGCCTGAAGGGGCTCCAGGAGAGCTGGAGAGGGACTGGGGACAAGGGATGGAGGGACAGGACACAGGGAATGGCTCCCAGTGCCAGAGGGCAGGGCTGGATGGGACATTGGGAATGAGGAATTGTTCCCTGGCAGGGTGGGCAGGCCCTGGCACAGGGTGCCCAGAGCAGCTGGGGCTGCCCCTGCATCCCTGGCAGTGCCCAAGGCCAGGCTGGAGCAGCCTGGGACAGTGGAAGGTGTCCCTGCCATGGCAGGGGTGGCACTGGATGGGATTTAAGGTCCCTCCCAACCATTCTGGGATTCTGTGATCCCAAAGATGGAAATAAGGAGCCACAGAAATGCCATCCTGAAGATGCTTCTGAAGAAGGTGGGGGGCAGAATCCTGCTACACCTTGTCCATTGTCCTCAACATCATTTTCTCATTATCATCCCCTTGGAGGAATAATCCAGTCCCATTTTGTCACATTACTTGCAAGACCTGTAAAGGTCACAGTAAAATACAGGCAGTGGAAGGGTGAGTTTAAATTACTTTCTGCCAGGATATATCCATTTATATTCCATTTATCTCCCACCAGGCACACCAGACTGGCTGGGCCAGCCCGGGTTTCTTATCTCCATGTAACATCAGAGAGATTTTAATCAAACAGTTGAGTATCTAAAAGTCAACTTCCTTGCAAAGTGTGTTTTAAGGAGAGCTGAACAAACTTTACCCTGGCTCCTGTAATTGTTGGAGGAGAATATCTGAAGGCAGCATCCTTCTGCAAGGCTTTAACGAGTCTCTGCAGTTTTAATTGGCAACTCGCTGCCGCCTTATTTTCCCCCACAAATTATCCATGTTACCAAGCTCCTCAGAAAGTTCTGTCATTCCTGGGGCTGCAGCAAGCAGTGCAGAGGACTCCATTAAAACAAAAACCAGCAGTTGAAAATTCAAACTCATCCAGGCTTGGCAAGGAGAAGCCGAGCTCCCGCCTTAATCCCTCTGCGCCGCGCCGGGTTTTGTACAATTAGTGCAGCTGGCAAGCACAGCAGCTTGAGGGACTCTTGTGCTGCCTTCTGAGGGCCAGCAGAAGGATTTACATAATTTAGAGTTTAATAACTTCAGCCTCTGCTTGCTTTTTATTTTATATTTTTTTTTTGCTAGTAGTTCTCCTGAAAACACAAGCTGGCGTGGAGTGCAACTCCCCTGAAATCGTCAGCCTCGCATGGAGATGTTTCTAAGGGATGGTTTTATTTGAATTTTTCCCACAAGAGAATCTATTTCAGGTGTCAGACCACTTCTAAAATAAGCAGAACATCCTTAGAGGATGGACAATCTGCTCCTTCCACAAAATTCAGCCTAAATCATCTGCAAAAATCTGCTCCACACATTTTTCTTTAAGAGGAATGAGACTTCTGCCCAGTATTAACAGCAGATTAATTTCACTTCCTCCCACATCTTGTTAGCAAAATGAAGAATCACAATGTTTTAAACACAACCCCAATTCATCTGGGGGGATTTCTGTCTTTTATCTTTTTTTGCTGACCTCTCTTAAGCTCTTTTTTCCAACCATGTCTCTAAAAACAGAGGATCAGAGACATCATTTTAGGTGTAGCCACAACAAGTGATGTTTTCCTCATTCTGAGCCTAATTATTTGTTGGAATCAGGGAGAAAAGTCTGTGGTTCTGCTTTGAATTGCAAGCAGCATCCAGGATTGCATGCAGGCACTTGAGATCTCTGGATAATCAATACAGAGAGGGGGAGAAATTAGCTGCTGATTTGGATTTCACTGAGTGTGCAAGGGAAGGTGATCTGTGAACATCAAGGAGTCAGAAAGCCTTGACAGTTCCATACTTGGAGCAGACTGACCAGTTTCTACCAGAAGAAGAACAAGCAAACAAACAAAAAAAAAAACCCACCAAACCCTCTACTAATATCTGGAAATGTAAAGCAAACACTGCAGAAAAACCAAACAAAAATCAGATGTCAAAAGTTGTTCATTTATCTTAAAAAGAAGGCCACATGTCAGGAGATGTAGCCCTGCCTTCCCTGGTGCTCCTCAACACCCAAGGGTTTGGGTTCTTCCCATGCCCTGCTTGAACTCAAACCCCACCCTGCTTTTATTTAAGACTGCAATGACAGGGAAAAAAAAATATTAATAGTGCTCCTGGGGCAGGCTTTTCAAAGCCCTGAATTGCCTTATTAAAGAGGTCATTATGAGACAGGAGTCAGATCAGAATGATTAAATTTTAATGTCTCCTAAATCCTGTTGCAAAGACAAAGCCCTTCCTCCAGTGATTTATAGCTGAAGTTTGCTCCTGCAGAGTGAGCACAAGCTGAAGAGCCTGTGCAGACTAACAGTGAGTAATGACACTAAAATCATTATTATTTACAAACCAAAGCCAGGGTACACATAAAACCCAGTTCCAGCTGGAGATGTCAACTCAGCTGACACCTCATAATGGCCCAGCTGTAACACAGAGCTCCACACCCACATAAATCCATCCTTCACTCAGCCTCTGCTGCAACTTCATCCTCAGAAAGCAACACTTAATGCCCTCCTAATGAAGTACAGGCAGGCCCATCAAAGCACACTCCTGACACCCTGGAGATGATGGAAAGCTCTCTCCTGAAAATTGGGAAGCCCTGAGAGTTCCTCCAAAGAGGAGCTGGATGGTGCTCCCTGCCACTTCTTCACCACCACCAGTGCTGAGTGTCTGCTCTCACTACAATCACCAATTTTATTGCTCCCAAAATCAACCTTGGAATGATCCAAGGCTTAATGGAGTATTTACCACCACTTCCTAGGGATTTAGCACATTTATTGCTCATTTCCCAAAGGAACAAGCAGGTGTTTGAAGCTGTGCAGGACCAACTAAGTCAACACCAAGCCCAGAGGGGATGTGAGCACCTCCACACCCTCAGCTCAATGACTGTGAGCTGCAGCAGCTCCCCAAGCTCATTACAGCCCCAAATCTGCACTGATCTGTGCACTAACCAGAGAGAAAATTCCTCCAGGTCCCTTGCTGGCCCTGGGAAAGGCATTAAAACCCAGCAGAACTCTAATTACACAATGCTGCTAAGAAAGGAACAAGGGACACAGACTCCTTTTCCTTGAGGCAGGGATTCTCTGAGTAGTGACCCCTGCCCCCAGTTTAACCAGGACAAAGGGATTTGGGACAGCAATGCCACGTGCCAGGCTGGAGGCTTGCCAGGAGGGGTGTGTGAGGGTGTGGAAAAGGCAACAAGGGAAAATAAAAACACAGAAAAGCTGCAGGGGGAGTGCCTTGCCCAAGCAGCTGGGAATGGCACAGGAACAGAGTTGTTCTGTGGGATTCCACTCAGGTGCCCTGCAGCTCTGCATTCCTAAGGGGAACTAAACAACAACCATCCCCTCACTGCCTTTTCTAGGCTGTGAGCTTTCCCTCTGCTCTTCCCAACCTTCCCCAGCTGTATTTATCACACAAACCTGCTGCTTTTCTCAATTTTCCACCCTCACTTGAGGTCCCCAGCACTTGTGAAAGGGCAAGGTTTGCACAGGTGAGAACAGAGAACATCAGTCATGTCCTTGAGCCCTACAGAGAACAGCACATGCTGCAGAAAATAATCCACTTATCTGTTCCTGCTTTCTCATTCCTGCCCATTTGTTCTTTTCCTTTCTCTTTTTTTGAGGCACAATTAGATATTCAGAAAAAGCTTTCTTCTGAGCAGGGACTTGCACAGCTCATTATTCTGGCACCAGAATACCACTGGTTTGTATTATTCAAGTTTGTACCTCTTGTTTGAATTTTTCTGTACCATCTGTACTCTTTTAACTCCTCCACCACAGCACCTTAAAACCACACAACTATTTATTATCTCTCTCTGCTTCAGACACCACCATAAACTCTTGTCCTCAAGATCAAGGAGAGCTGTGATATCCTAGATCTGCATCTGAATGTAAACAAAAACCCATTTAAGTCATGCATAGCAATGTGATTTATTCCCTCTGCTTAACTGTGCAAGCCAAGTTTTTGCCCAGAACATTCATAAAAGAAAACAGGTAAGAAAAGTGCTGAGGAGTTTAGAGCATGGGGTCAAGTGCCATCCAGATTTTTTTTTCCTTGATTTATTTTAGTGGGAAAACAATGATTTGTCCTGAACAAGAGCTAAGCTTGGCTTACTGAGCTTCCCTTAAAGACTTACACAGGTCAGAAAGGTTCTTCTAAGCAAGAAGAAAATAATTATCATGAGATCCAGCAGGAATTGTAAAGAAAACTGTGGTGCAAGCTTCAGGCTCCTCTGCATGGGGTAGGACCAACCTGAGAGACTGAATGGTGCATTTCCTCTGCATCTCCTTCATACAGAGTGCCTAAATTCCATACCAAAATCCATGCCCCTAAGAGCTGAATTCACTGAGAAAGCAAAACACCTAAAAGAGGCTGCAGCTTCCAAGTGAAAAGATTGAAGAAACATCTAAAATGCTCTTACTTTTGACAGTAGCTGTCCGGGTGCAGTTGTAGAGGATGGCTAACTCCCCAAAAACTTTGCCAGGTCCCATGGTGCAGAGCTTCACTCCCTCTTTTGTCACTTCAACCTTCCCATCTGTGAGAAAAAAGAAGAGAGAATAACCATTTTAAAAGGGCAATTGAATAATTTCAGGCATTTTTAAAGGAGGGTGAATGTCTTTTTGAGATTTAACTTCTAAAATTTATTTGATTCCTGGCCAGTTTGGATGGGGCTTAGAAGAGCCTGGGACAGTGGAAAGCATCCCTGGCCATGGCGGGGTGGAACTAGAGGGAATTTAAGGTCACTTCCAATCCAAACCATCGTGGAATTCCATACTGCGAACAAAAAACAAACCACACCAGAGCCCTACAACTTCAAAAGGAACTAAATGTCTTATGAAGAAGAGCACATACACTCAGAAAAGGTTAAAACCAACTACTGCATGCAGATACTTTTAACACTCGACTGGTTTTTAGTGAAGCATCGTTGCAGTTGAGATACCCACAGTACACAGAGTGTCACCAAACAATACCAGAAAGCTTCAGCCCACACAGAGCAACACCTCACCAGCTCAGAAGGCTTCAGGTATCTGCTCCCACACAGTAACACCCTAACACTGCCAGCAACTGCCCTTGCTGTGCCTCAGCCCAGCCTTTTATCCCCTCGTGCTGATGCACTGCACCTGTGTGCCCTCTGCTCCTGTGTGATTGGTCAGTGCCCCTGGGCTCATTAAGGCTCATTAATTTCAATATCACTCACCTGCTTCTCACAGCTGCAGCTCGTTAGGGATGAGGCTCAGCCCCGCTCCCAATGCCCACAGCCCCTGTGCCCACGCACCAGCCCCGTTTGCAGGAGGTGCTGGCACTGCCAGGGCAGCCCGAGGGGTGGGTGGTGGCAGCTGGGGACACGTCCTGCACCATCTGGAATTGCAGCAGCCCAACAGGGCCACAGGGCCCTGGGCATGAACTCCAGCCCTTTTCCATGGGATACAAAACTCACCACTGACAGCAAAGGTGTGACTCACACAGAGGAAAGTTTCAGGCATCAGCACTTGGTTGTTCTTCAGCCCAACCTTTTATACCCTGGTGTTGATGCACTGCACCTGTGTGCCCTCTGTTCCTGTGTGATTGGTCAGTGCCCCTGGACTCATTAACAGCTCATTAATTTCAATATCATTCACCTGTCCTGCACAGCTGTAGCTCATTAGAATTCACAGAACTAAATTCTAATGACCAGGTTGGAAGAGACCTCCAAGATCATTGAGTCCAACCCAGCCCCAACCCCTCAGCTAAACCCTGGCACCCAGTGCCACATCCAGGCTGGTTTTAAACACATCCAGGGATGGTGACTCCACCACCTCCCCAGGCAGAACATTCCAGAACTTTATCACCCTTTCTGTAAAAAACTTATTCCTAATATCCAACCTATATTTCCCTTGGTGCAGCTTGAGACTGTGGGGTGAGTCTTGAGACACTGGGGATGAGGCTCCACTCCCAATTCCCAAAAACTCTGTGCCTACAGAGCATCTGTACAGTCAGGACATACAGTACACTAAACTCAGTGTGAGCTTGTTTCACCCCTTAGACTTTCAGGTGAAATTTCCCCCAATTTTTTATGTTCAAAAAAGAAAAGATTTAGGTCTTTAACACCCCACATGAAAACGGCGGTGAGATGTAATTTTGGTCATTTTCCCTGAGAAACTAATCCCTGAGAACATTCATCCATGAGTAACAGAACTATCATAGAAAAGAAAATTACTCTGACCCGTGGCTATTATTTAATTCCCATCTCTCCACCCCTTGCCTTTCTGAATATCTCGTTTTATGAGGGGAAATCTGCTTTATCAGCTTACCTGCATCATGCTGGGATGTGTGAGGAAGGGTCAAAATTAAAATCCCACGTTGGATGGAAAGAAAGGACCAACATGGGAGGTTGGACATGACCCATCTTTTAAATAACAAAGGGCTTGAAAAGCAAGATTTGATAAACAAGAGCCAGGAGAAGAGAAGGAAGAGGGGACAGACATGAGGGGGCCACAGGGTTATTCCCACCAAAAAAAAAAAAATAAAAATAAAAAGGGTGGGGAAAAAGAGCAAAGGTTTCAAATCTTAGCAGCCACTAAAAAAACCTCCCCTGACACCCCAAACTGGGAAACAGCTTCAGGGATCATGGAATACAATCAGAGAACTGAAACACAGACTCATTTAGGTTAGAAAAGATGATTATTTATCCAGCTGAAAATGGCTGTTTGGTAAATATTATGACCTAAAAGTTACCTGGGCTGTGGGAGTGTAAAATGGCAGCAGTGTTTTCTGTGATAGAGAAGCAGAGTTGGGGGGAATTCAAATATCTTCATGCAAGTTAATTTTTATGACTATTTCTATAAATGTCTGATTAATTTCTTCATATTAAGTATTAACATAACAAGAAGAACAAAAATAGGTGTTTATCTCAAGAATGAGCAATATCAGCCTTTAGTGGGGCCTCCCACACTTCAGAGATTCCTAAATCATTTTGGAGAATGTCATTTTTTGTTTAATAGACCGGAGTTTCAGCAGCTTTTTCTTCAAAAAGCTCTGCTGGATAAAGCTCTATAACAAAAACCTGCAAAGGAAATTACTTTACCTGACTTTTGGCTCATGGGTTCCAAAGAAAGATGAGCAATTCTGAGCAGGAATGCACAGATGGGATCACATTATTCCCAAGTGTTGGGGAGCACAAGAAACACATTGCTGATGAAATTAAAATACTTGTTTTAAAAGTAAAGAGAAGATTTCCCAGCACAATAATGCAGGTATTAGCAAGATTAGATAAAACAATGCTCTGTGGTTTGGTAATTAATGTGCTCTTTAATTACAATTTATTATCCTGGAGAAAGCCTCCCATTCCCCTGCTGTGTAACTGAGCAATCTGGAACATTAAACACCTCACCATAAGATGCCCAGACCATGAGAAAAATTCACCTCTTATGGAATTAAAAGTTCAAGGGACTGCTGTAGGACTTTTCCCATTTTCTTTTCCTACCTGGCAGCCTGTACAGTGCAGTTTTCCATGGAGCAAACAAATTGTTCTGCTGTATCAAGCAGATAAAGGAACCAAATGGAATACAACACAATATTGATCAATTAATGGAGATACATCTGCAGCTTGCCTTGGCATCTCCATCAGACAAACACTAAATAATGCAAGAGATGCTTCTCTCCAGGCAGGAGAATCAGAAAATGCTGCATTTCAGTCCAAATATTGAGCATTATTGAATTTAACATTATATTTAATTTACAGCTTGAGCTGATTTTGGGGAGCGTTAGTTGGCATACAAACAATGCACTTTTTTGTCAGCTGTAAGAAGCTATTCCATAACAATGGGCAATGTGTATGATGTTTCAAACAGAGCATAAAATAAAAATCTCAGTGCCTTCAGTTCCCCAGTTCCAAGGGCTCCAGCCATTCCCTTTCCAGGATGAACATGAGAAGGTGACCAGAGTTAAGGGTCAATAAAAGAAATCGATGCCTCCACAAGCCATCAGCCTGTCCTCAACAGAAATAGCTCCAAAAATCCCTTTAACCATGCAGAACTCAAAATATTTTGGGTTCTGCAAGCCCCCAAGTCTCAGTGCTTTGGTTCTTTATCCTTGGACGCTTCCAGGGATTCAGGGGCATCCACAGCTGCTCTGGGCACCCTGTGCCAGGGCCTCACCTCACCCTGTTGCTTTATAGGATTTCTGGGAGGTTCACTAAAACTTCACGAAATTAAGCTTTTCTTAGTAAAAACCAGCCCTAGGAGTTGCAGCTGAGCGATGCTTGGGGATATTCCATGAAATGCAAGAGGGAACAGCTTCCCTTGCTGCCCTGGTCCCCAGCACACGCCCCTTGGGCCTCTCAGCCAGAGCCTGGCTTTCCCAAATGAAACCCTGCCTGCTAATTACATTGTAGTCGCCAATTTAATTGCGGAGCAATTAAAGTTTTAATTGCTAAGTGGCTGCCTGACTTCAGAGCCGGTCCGATGGAGATGTGCTAAGGCTGGTGTTTGTTTGGGAACAGAAACCGATAATGGTCCCCGTTACTCATGAATTATTCACGGATAATTCACGGGGTTGTGCCCCCGGGCACTGGGAATCCTCCCCTCGGTGCCTGTGGAGTGTTACACTTCACCATGAGGAATATTCCCAATATTGAAACTAAAGCCAGGATTTAGGGGATTTTTTTTGTCACAGCCCTTCTTAAAATAGTGGAAGGTGTCCCTGGCCATGGCAGGGGGTGGAACAGGAGGAGCTCTGAGGTCCCTTCCAACCCAAATCATCCTGGGATTCTGGACTGAGAACAAAAAACAGGCTGACACTGAATAAAATAGGCTTAAAACAGGCTGATACTGAATTTCCTCTTCTGTGGTTCAAATGGTCCGTGTTTAACTTGGCATTCTGGGAAGTTATTCAGAAATTTACAGACCCTGGCACAGCTTCTCCATCCTCAGAAGTGTCCAAGGCCAGGTTTTGGATCACCCTGAGATAGTGCACCCTGCTGTACCTCTGTCCCAGTTTCAGGAATCATGGAAATAGTTCCTGGAAAATCATCTGTACATGGAAAATCATAGAATGGTTTGGAAGGGACCTTAAAGCCCATCCAGTGCCACCCCTGCCATGGGCAGGGACACCTTCCACTGTGCCAGGGTGATCCAAAACCTGGCCTTGGACACTGCCAGGGATGGGGAACCTGTGCTCTGGTAAATTCCTGAATAACTTCCCAGAATGCCAAGTTAAACACAGATCATTTGAACCACAGAAGAGGAAAAAGATGAATGAAGCATGCAAGAACAAAGCAGGATTAATTCTGTCCCCCACAACACCACCAGCAAAGCACAGAGGTTTGGCTTCTTTGGGGACATTGGGGGTTTTGTCACTCTGTGTCCACCCAATTAAACTTGAAATAACTGGCTTGAAATTAAACTTGAAATCTCTGCCTGAACTGCATCCATGTCCGTTCAATGAATGGAAGGATGAAGTAAATTGCACTCATGTGACTCTCTCAATCAGGAGGATCATTTTTTTCTCCCCAGTAATTAAATGGTCGTTTTCTCTTTCCAGGCACAGAAGAAAACA